TGATATCTTCAAAGTGGTTTCTCATGAAAACAGATATAGACATACAAAGCTGATCAACCAAGGACTCATTGACAGTTTCTTTCAGCAAAGAAATACAAGACAGCAGAACAGACATGTTAACTATCCTGCATATACATACATACAAACTTTCTCCTTCTTTGCCTTCTCTTTTTCCATATCCCAGTTATCCTTTACTTTTGAGTGGGAAAGCATCAAGTTTTATAGAAGCCAGGAATAATTTCCTCTGGGCTTACTTATCTGCATCTCCATCCCATGATAGCAGGGGTGCCCTGAAGCTTTGGCTTGAGTTGTTTCTGAAACAGCTGAAGCCCATGAGCCAAGGTCATTATTTTTGCATGAGGTATTTAATGCTAAACATAAATACGAGGGCGGTGGACTCCTGGGCAAGCCAAGATTTCATTTTGAAGCCCTGGGGGCTGACTCCCCACATCTCATTAGAAAGATGGCAGTTTAAACCAGTAAAAGAGTAGGCAAAATATCACAGAGGACTTTGTATGAAGAGTTGCTTCTGCTCCAAGCCTTTTAGGATTTGGGACCATCTCATCTTTAGATCCTTTATTTCCAGGTCTGTGAATGCTAAGGCCCATCAGTATATAGTATTTACTTATCTCTGAAATGTTGTGAGAATTTTGCCCTTAAGTATCCCAGAGAAGCTTGAATGCCACCAGAACATAATTATACAGCACCGTAGACTTTTATTAGTTCACAGTCTGCTGTTAAGATCTGCAGGTTTAGCATGAGCTAAAGCATATAAGTCAAAGTTATATCTGCCATGTGGTCATCCATGTTGTTTTGGGGGGAATGCTATAGGACTTTTTCTCTCCTGCACATCAAGGAAGGGAGTTTCTCTATTTCTTTTTTATAGCTTACCCCTCACCCTGTTTGCTTTTCTTGTTCCTCATGTTACTTCACTGCCTTCATGATTCTTTGAGTACTTATCCTCCCTGTTTTACACAGGAGAAATAGTAAGGTGGGGAGAAGGGAAGGAAGGATAGAAACAGAGTAAATCTTACTGGATCCTTCTGGGTTTGTGTACTGCCCTCAGCATTTTCAATGTAATTTGTCCCTAAAATTTGATATGGAGAAGCAGCCATCACCCTTGCCTTAACCAAGGAACTCAGAAGCATTTGAGGACAGTGCTTGGAGTGGGCATTGGCAGAGCATGGCCAGGAACCACTCTGGATCTTCTGGTGCGTAAGCCTGGGGAGCCCAGCCAGATCACACCCCAGCCGTCCCTTGCATAGCCAAGAGTACTAAGAGGGTAGGAAAGAATGCATGTTTATGGAGAGTTTCCTCTGCACTGTCCCTGAATGAGATGTTTTTTCTTGTGAGGTTTCATTTAATCTTCACTGATGCAAAATTTGGGAAGTTCAGTATCACATTTAAACTTCAAGCTCTGATGCCACTGTCTAAACCATGCTGGGCAGAGCTCATTCTGAATGAGTTCCCTGAGCAATTGGGATTATACTTTTGCAGGTCTCATGTGAATGTCTAAACCGGATGGGCAGAGTGTATTTGCATCATGCCTAGGCTTGAATTCCTGATCCTGTTTCATAAGTTTCTAGGCAGAGAGTTGTTAAAATTCAGAATGACTTGTGATGCAAAAGGCCCCAAAGGAAGTGTTCTGATGGAATAAGCCACAGAAGCTCCTATTGGCCTTACTCATGCTGTCTACTCTGTTAGTTAGTCAGACGCTGACATCAGAGAGATTTTTTTTTTGAGGTAGGGTCTCACTAAGTAACGCAGGCTGGCCTTGAACTTACTATATAGCCCAGGCTGGCCTTGAACTCATGGCAATCCTGCCTCAGCCTCCCAAGTGCTGGGACTACATGTGTGCGCCGCTGTGCCTGGCTGATCTTGGAAGCCAAGAGTTGACAACAGAAGCCTCTCCACTGCCATGGTTTCTAAGTGGCTGCACTCAGGGGCTGCGCGGCACAACCTCCCGCGTCAGACTAGACACTGCATGAGTGTAAAATAAGCTTATGTTGTCTTAGGTGCCTTAGATTTCAATGTTTATCTGTTATTGCAGTTGGTGTTACCTTAGCCCATCCTTTCTTTTTTTTTTTCAAAAGAAAATTCTTTATTATAAAGATTACCATCCTGGCAAATGCTGACACACTCTCCCCCGAACTGAGCAGGTTGGTGCACAGGTGTGACCCCAGCTACTAAACTCAGGAGGATCACAAGTTTGAGATCAGGCTAAGCGATGTAGTGAGAGCTGTCTCAAAATAAAAAATAAAAAGGCCTGGAGACATAGCCCAGTGTGAAAGCCCTGGGTTCACTCTCTGGTTAATACTCAATACTTTCTTTAAATTTACTGGTAAATGCTGTAGTATTAAAATATAAGAGAGGTATTTCAAAGAACATTTAATGATTTTTGGAAAAGTAAAGTATTGAACATCCTACAGAAACCTAGAAAGTGGAATGAGCGGGAAGGGATAGTAAAGGCATTCCAAAATGCTTTTGTATAGAGCTCTCAATCCTATATGATTTATTTAAAAAACACATTTAAGCAATCTGGAGTACAGAGATAAATGAAATTGATGAAACAGGACACCCTTCAAATGTGAAAGGCAAATAAAACTGTTTCTTTGAAAAGTTCATTAAAAATAAGATAAATTCCTCGCGAGTTTGCCCGATTAATGTTGGGGGTGTAGGAAAGAGAGAGGGTGGGAAAAGTGATGGAAAAATACAGTGACTATTTAAATTTAAGAAAATTACAGTAAAAGACACATTGTCAGAGACAGTGGGATAAGCATGTTTGAAGCAAGGCAGAGTATTTTGAGGAGGGATTTAATGGCAAAGTGTCTTCTACTGTAATAAACTTTTAATTTAAATATCCACCAAATGTTTTGATCACCTCACATTGGCCAAATATTTACCACACTTTCTGTGTGTTGCAGCGTAGTCTCATCTACTTTGTTCACCAGATCTGACACTGGGACATCTCTGGCTCTTCCCTAAAGTCACAATGACCATAGCAGGTAAGTGTTTTGAATCCATTCGGGACATCAGGGGAGTGAGAACAGAGCAACCAAAGGTACAAAAGAGAACTGCTGAAACTGTTTTAGAAAGTGGCAAGAAAGGTAAGCTTGTTCAAAGGGAGGAGGAGTATTTTAAGGGAAATTAATGGCAATGTATCTTTTACTGTAATAAAAACTTAAAAATTTTAAACATTCACTGTATTTTTTTATTATTGTGTCTTACGTACCCTGTAGTACAAATGTGAAAGTAGAACTACAACTAGCTCAAAAGAAATCAAAATTAAATTTCTAAAATTGACGGAAGAGGCACACCTCTTTCACCCTGGGCCCGGAAGGATGATGCTGGGCCAATGCTGGCCTGACTGCATCTGCCACTTTCAAATTTCAGAGTTGTTGGCTGTCGTCTTGCAGCCTGGGCCGAGTCCAGTCCCTAGCACCCAGCCTCCTGGACTTTGGGAATGTTTTGGGAGTGTTCCAAGGCTGGCAAAGGAACGAGTCCTAATGCTGCAATGTGCTATGCGGTGATGGCCTTCAGCATCCCCTTCATACAGGCACTTGGGAAGATGCCGTGATTCAATTGCCAGAGGTTTCAGTGTGAACAGGCCTTATTTGCAGAAAATAATGGAAAGAATGGGTGACTCTTCTATCTCTGAATATTGAGTGAGGTAAATTTCCAGATGCTGTTCTCTATTTTTATGTTATTGGACCAATGCTCTGTATAAATAATTCAGATGTAAGCATTTCACATCAAAAGAATTCATTAGTCTTTAACAATTAACCTCAGTACTGTCACTACAATATTACATTCTGCAGATGTCATTGTGTTGTATCAGATACCAAAAGTAAGGTATCTTCATGTCACATAGTGAAAAATAAAATCAGTAAATTACTCAAGATCCTTTCATTGTGATTTGGAATTTTAATCTTTATAGACTGACACCCTTTTTTATTGGCTTTTTTATTAAGAAAAAATGGTCCCACTCTGTATTGATAATGTTTGCATACACAGTATTTGAGTATTAACTTGAATATCTCTACTCTTAGCAAGTTTATTACAGGTATTAAAATATTTAGAACAAACCTTTACAACTTTTAAGCAGGAAAATAAATGAGATGTGACTTAGAAGTAGTACTGGAGAAATGTTCATATGTAAGAGAAGAAAGTTTACACCCTAGCAGGCATTGTAGCCTCTGAAGTCTCTAAGTTTGGATACAGGTTTTAAGTACGAATTGGAGCAGCTAGCTGTCATTCTCTGAAAAGACAGCAGAAAGGAAAAGCAAAACAAAACAATTACGAACAATAATCCTTTATTTGGTTTTTATTCTCTGTAATGTCAAGTCCTCAAAATGGAACACTTACTTCACTGCAAAGCAAACTAAATTTTTGTTTTGTTTTTTCATATATCTCTTTAAATCTAGTTTCTAATTTATCAACTTGAACTGGAATCTCTTGTGTGACTTTGTGGGATTAAATGTGTCTCAAATCTGCATGCCATGGCATATGCATATGTCGAAGCTTTGATAGTAAGGGAAGGCTCACCAAGTTTACATAGGAGAAATCCTGAGAAAGTGACTTCTGAATTTTATAAAAGAGTAGTCATAAGTTTATAATTAATACTTTTTAGGGTGCAACTGGAATTCAGTTACTATTTCAAAGCTAAGTGGAGTTAAATCTTGCCTAAAAATTTAAAAAAAATTGACTGAGGAAGTTGAAAACTTAAATATACCAATTTATGACCATGGAAGAAATTAGGAGGAGCACTAAGAAGAGATATGTTTAGTATTGAATTCTATCTAATTCTTAAAGACCACGTGATTCCAATATTATGTAATTCCAGATGAAAGGAAACAATCTCATTTCCTTTAGTGAACCCAACAGAATTTTAAAGTTAAGAACTGATAATAACAATAGAGAAAATTGTAGACTAATTTTACTT